AGCAGAGTTAAAGAAAGAATGGTCTTGAGAAGTGACTGCTTGACTGTCGAAAGAGGTAGCGGAACAATCACCAGTTTGCATAATGCAGGAATCCGAGGCTGAACTATCATTAATCATAGGGTCTTTGGTTACAGTGACGATGTCTGCACTAATAGCGCAATCATCCTCGTTTTCATGTTTGCCTTCTTCAGTGGGCTCCACTTTGTCAAGATTATTGGGGCTAGCAAGTGTAGTTAAGAAACTTGTCATGCCAGTCGCCTGGTCGTCCTCAGCCAGCAGATGTGCCGAATTGGAAAGTGAGACAACAAGTTGGTTAGAAGCAGTGGCGTCAGCCGAACTAGGATCACAGCAGAGCACTGCCAAAGAGGAGCAAGAGGCTCCCGGGACTGAGAAAGTGTCGCCTGCGGTAGAAGCGATCACAGGAGCAGACGGAAGGAGATTGGACTCGGTTGAAAGAGGCGCCGGAAGTACCTCAACCCATTGTGATGACGGATAGAAGGCCTGAAGTTAGAAAGCCAGAGGCAAGAGCAGAAGTAAGGAAATGAAACGAATTTTCGACGCTACGCAAACTTAACGTAGAATGAACACTTAGGCTTTGATTTCAACCAATGGACCTTGCTGACTGAGCAATGTTGTATTTAGTGTGATAGGCTTCCAGAAAAGCACATATTTTTAATAAGGTCTTTGCGAAGGTATCAAGGTTAAAATAATAAGTATTTCTACGAAAAATAGGTATATAAATGCAATGTGTGCATTGGCAAATCAATACTCTATGGTGGTGCAAGATAAACTAACTTACACGGAAGAAGTTGGGATGAACTTTGGATATTAATTAGTACTTAATGCTTTTTATGCTATAAAGAAAGGTTCAACGCTATTAATGACTTAAGGATACCGTCACCAAAAGCCTGTGCACTTTGTCTGTCAGTGTGTGTATTTAACAAACCAATAAGTAAGAACTATAAATTTTTTACACAGACATACGACGAATGTATGCCACATGAAAGACATCATCAAAGCTAGAATTCATTCTTAGACTTTCTAATACTTTCAAGCTTACAACGAATCAAGAAAATCAGCAGGCTGATCTCTAGCTGTAATATACATTGACAAAAAATCAATTTCTAGGTATAGAAAGAGTATATGCGAGAAAAATTTGGGTTTCGATGACTCTTGTTTCATAATTGTTGAGCTTACTTTCATTTCGAGTAAAAGTGTTCGGTGAAGAGATTCGAAGGTCGATCCCACCAGAAGACGACGAAGGATTCCTTTTGACCAGCTATCAATTGGATTTACATTCTCGCTGACGCCGTTTCCGAGGTAATCTTCTTTGATTCCGGTTCAAACGTGCTAAGCTTTCATCCGTCGTATGACGGATATCATCCTTACAACCAGTGATTTGGTTAGTTCAAGTGAATGTTAACCTTAAATGATCTGAGTCTGTCTGTATGTGTATGCGCCCGTGTGTGTTTGCATGTGTACGAAACCCGCAGTGATGGCTCAAATTAATTAGAGCAGCAAAAGTAACGTCTGCTCTTGACCATCAAGGTTTGATGACCATCATTGCTCCTTAGCTTTGCTTACTAACAGACCCTCTTACTCATAGTGTACGGCAGTTTCAACCTAGCCTGACTTGCCTTGAAATTGGCGTCAGCTCCGTGATCCATTAGCACTCGTGGCAGTGTTGCGTAGTAACTTAACACTAAAACTATACACTGCACCACCCAAGCGAGGTAGAAACAACAGTCTCTTAGACGAGACTACTTTATCAGATGAGATGTATTCACCCTATTTCGTGTAAGGTGATGAAGGACTGGTAGTAGAATTTTCCCACAATGATTT